TCACAAATATGGGTGTGTTTTGGGAAAGTGACATGTTTGAACTGAGCAACCATCAAAATTGATTTTGTTCACCGTGTGAAAAGTTAAAATTAGCAGAAAATTTTAAAGTGACAATTGTGGATTGATACAGTCCAACAGGAGGCTTTAAATGGTTTAGGCTTGCATTTAGATTGAAGGTATTAACTACCGTACTTGCCGCCGTATAAGTCGCATCAGTACAAATATGTCTAATAAAGTGAAAAAAACATGAATATGTCGCTTCGCCATATAAGTCGCATCTATTATGCGTAGGCCTATCGCGATAAACAATAAATCAATTAATCGCATGATGAAAATTATCAACCTCATTTTCATTTATCAGCTTTATCGTTTCTTCGCGTCTCTCTCTTTCTACTGAAGACACTGGACGACAAAAGGCTCAACTCCGGTGCTCTTCACTGACCCCTCTCTTTCGCTTTTCTCTTTAAAATCCGTTTTAATCGTCCAAAATCGTGTTTTTGGATCGTTAAAAGCAGCTAAGCTGAGAAGCTAAGTTACGAGCTAAGCTAACAGGCTGTCGGGACAAAACCTCCGTCTTGTCGAAGCTCCAAAATTCATGGTTGAAACCCGTGCCTTTGCCTAAAAAGTTGTTTTTCTCTGCAAAAAGCAGCTGAGAACTTGTTTACTGATATTTTTATTAAAAGCTTTGTGTGAAAAATGCTACGCTAAAGAGATCAAACAACACTGAACGACCGCCATTTTGAGAAAAGAAAAACAGGAGAGACAGCCCATGTCACGTCAAGGAGCCTCCCTCCCATTTTTCTTAAGACATGCTGCTCGCTCCCTCACAATCCATCCTTCGGTTCAAACAGCCTTATACTGCCATCCGGTGGTCAAAAAAGTTACTACACTCTAAACAAATTAAACATTTTTTCTTAAATTTGACAATAATTACTATTTATTGTCAAACTTCAAATCCAGGTAGAAAAATCTTTAAAAAGTTAAGTAGTAGTGTTCAATATTTTCCATGTCAGAATGAATGAAGTCGTCAGATCTCAGCCAAAAATTGGGTTATAGATATAGGGGAAAACATAAATGTCACTTTGCTGTATAAGTTGCAGGGCATGCAAATTTATGCAAAAAGGTGCGACTTATACAGCGAAAAATATGGTTGTAAACAAATTATGATGTTTAAGTTTCTTAAAGGAGTCTTTCCTCACAAGAGCAGTAATAACTCAGTGTTTGATAAGCTTTATTTCTATACTCTTGGATGTGGTAAGCTTTAAGCAGATCAAGAACTTATAACTTGGTTAAATCAGTGTTTTTATGGACACCTTTTCTATTCAAAAGAATGAAAAGCAAATTGACAAAGGCTTAGTGAAAACTTGTACTTTTAAGAATGTATTTCAATCTTTTTTTAAATTAAAAACATTTCAACATTTGGTGGAATTTGTTGGGCAGGGAACTCGGTTCTGCTGACAAGGCGGGGCGGCCTCCCTGGATAATGGTTGAGGAAACACTGAATTAACTAAATCTACATGTACATTTTTATATATGGCTAATCAAAATTAAAGATTCAGCTATTCAGAATGCCATTCATACCATCTACAAGTAAGTTTTTAAATATCCGAGTTATTTTGTCTTAAACAAATATGCATACGCTCACGCACGTGTACTGGGCTGTAGATATTCACAGGAACATCCAGCCCATCCAGAAGAAATGTGAAACAACTATTGCAAAGAGAAACTCGCATATCAGGTTATCTTTGTGTTACAAAGGAATGAGTTTCATTTCCGATTAGAAATAAAACGCAGTTCCAAAACTATTTCAGACGTCAGTAATTTGAATGTCTAGTAAACAATTTATTGGCATGCAGCTACAGATAATTAGCATTCAAATTATAATGAGTTACTAAATGATATAATAAATAACAACCTAAACGAATGCCATTTTAACCTAAAACAGAGGAAATACAATGAACTACAACTGACTACTCATTTGTACTAATATGCTACCTGCACCATCTTCATCAGCTCTGCTTTCTTCAGCGCTTCCAACAGGTTGTGTTTTGTGAGCATGGCCGTCATGATCATGTTGTATTGCGACACCAAAGCACGATACGTAGTGTACAACGCCAGAGAATGGAAGCAAATCCTGCTCACACACCTTTTACAAGCCAGGTGGAAACTTTCACATTGCTAACCTGATAGTAGCTACTTTCAGCACTTAAAAAAAACAAATCCTCCTCCAGGTGGAAACATGTACACAACTTGTATATAGTGTTGCGTTGTCAACGTCATCTTTCACGAAGCTGAATTACTTTAAAACACTGGCTTTGAATGCAGAAGGAGCTAGTTTGTTAGTTTCTTCACTATAAGCTGCTGCTAAACTTCAGAGCTCTGCATTCTTCAACATGATATTATCACCATTAAATAATCATATGCATCTCAATGCATTGACAAACAGGTTTTAGCCACCACCCCTACCATTTAGCATTTAGTCATTTTGCAGCTGCTCCTGAAGACAAGAATGCACAAGCGAGACTGCACCCGCCCCCGCACTTTTAGATGTTTTGGTCATTTTACAATTTGGAAAACACTGAGTAAAAGATAACCTAGCTGTACATGTGCTGCGTGAGATTTGCTGTAACAATGAAAAAGACCACAACACCACAGAGTAACTATCTGTTCAAGCATCTAGCATCTCAGACTTATCTGATTTTCCCTCCACACTTGTTGGTTTTGTGAACTAAACATGCAAACAACTTTTTGCAACACAAAAAAGCAACTTTTCTAAAGAGGATAAAATGTAAAATCAGCACTTTCAACTAGGCAAACATCTATTCAGATGAACAAGGAACTCATCAGTGCATTCTTTATTTAGACCTCCACTCGGACTAATATTTAATTTAGGCTCATAATCGATTTTTCAATGAATTGTAATGCAAAAATTAACTATTCTAAATCCATTTTAAAACCTCAAAAATGGATATTTAATGTTTATAATGTCAAGTTATGAATAATGATGAGTTTGCAGATGGTCCGTTTTACATTAAAAGCCAATGTTTGATGGTTTGTTTGACTTTGAGGAAGTTAAATGAAAAACTGACAACAGACACCATATGCAAATTGTGTACTTGTTTACACCGAGAGGAGGAAATATATATAAAAAAAAAAAAAACAGCTGATGGTAGCTGTTGATACCAAAAGTTTTCTTTTTTTAGGAACAAATACGTATTAATCTAGAGCTGTCAAATATGTAAGACAAAAAAACGACACATTTAAAAAAAAAAAGACTACACAAATAAAGGTTGGTGCAAAGGATTTGCATTCAGTGGTTTAAAACCAGGACTTTTGTGACAAGTTTTTTTTTTTTATTTGGAGCACAAACTTGATCCTCCTAGGTTTTCTTACGTGACCAAAAAGTGTTGGAAACACTGAAGAAAGCAGAACAGACAGCTCCAACGTGACACAAGGACCCCCACTGCCACAGACTCCTCCTGTATATTGCTGTCCTCAGCAGTTTGATGCCTTTTATTCATCTAATTTACAGAATAGATACATAGACCTAATAAATAAATGGAAACAGAATACTGTAGTCGGTAAACAACGTTTATAATAGAGATGCACAATATTGGATTTTTGGCCGACATCCAATATGTTAAAACTTATTTGGCCAATAACCGATACAGATATTTTCCCCCTAGACCTATTTACACAGATTACATAGCTTTCCCTGTTGTGGAATTAAAATACTACATTATTCTGCATGGTCTTTGTCAGTTTGGCATGCTACCAAATACAGATGCCAAAAAGAGGGATGAAAATGATGTAACACTATATAAATATATTATTATAAAGTGTTTTTTACATCGGTGAGTCATTTTAATGGAAAGGCCGATGTCCGATATTTAATTTTATCACTAATATCGGCCGATACCGATACCATGCCGATAATATCGTGCATCCCTAGTTTATAACAAAGAATTTGATTATTATGACATTTATTTGACCTTTACGTTTTGAACATTAACTTCATTTTAAAATCCAAATATGTGACTGAAATTAAAAAAGCATCTTTATATCAACTATGTAGTTGTCTATATGGCAGTCATAATGAAAAATATTAGAGTTGTGTTCAGCAGTCTGGCACAGCTGATTAAACTATTTCTATGATTTTTAATCTATCATTCCTCTATACGGTATCAAAAATTATATAAATTAAAAGTATCGTTTAATTATCAGTGAGACGTTTAGTATCATTTTAGGATCGTGACAGCAGTCTAACCATTAAAATGTTACAACAGTCACTTAAAAGATGTTCAGGTATTCTAAGCATTATTTTTTAGTTCACTGTTAGATGTGGCGGCCTTAAAATATAACGTTCCCAAAAATAGGCGTGTTATTTCTGACTAGTAAAACTAATGATGTAATTAAAAAAGGTAATTAGAACGTTGGAGGGTAGGTTGATTATATGTTATAACAATCTGCCATACCCTTAAACGTCCTCACGAAGCAAAACGTCTTTAAAAAGTAATTTTTCAAGAACAGCTTGGGGCAAATGAGGTAATTACCACACACCTCCAGCTCGGAGTCTCCACAAGTGCAGCAGAGCTGCAAAAACATCCGTGAAATGTTTGTTTTAGCCAAACACGTTCGCACCCAAAAACCAGTTTTTCTTCGAAACCGAAGCAGCAGCCGTGTGCGTGTGTGTGCGTGGGTGAACCTGCGCCGCATCTGCGCCTTCACTGCGTCCAACATCTGGTGCTCCGAGCACGAGAAACGCCTAAAATTCATGATTACCCGCGGCTCAACTGACTACGTGTCTGAGTGTTAACGCTGGCGGCCTCTGCCCGCACGCACAGCCGGGCGCAGCGCACAGCGAACCGGGAGGAAATGAGCTGTCAGCGGGGCTCGCTGTGGTTTGACATCCATCCAGCTGCTTTAGCTTTCTACTTAGCCCCGACACCCCGTTACTTCCTGCACTCGTAGTGAAATTTACAGAAATAAATGTCACGTACCTTTGATGGGCCGTTCAACGGTGGAGAGTTTGTTTTGGTCTTTGGCCGACATCCTCCCTCCCTGTGGTCTGCGGGCACAGAAGGACCTAAATTCCGAACCAAACTCGACTAAATTCCTAACTAGCTAGCAGACTAGCTTGGGTGAGCTAGCCGCGCTAGCTAGCGGAGTGGCTCGGAGCAGGGCGGGCAGGGCAACCGGACTCGGCTTCCACCAGGCTGAGCTGGAGTTAACCCTGACACGGGGAGGGAGGGAGGAGGTGTCTGTATCCAGCAAATTCAAGCCTTTCCAGCGCACTGTGCTCTGCGGTGCAGCCCCGCCGCTGTCACTCTCTCTGTCGGATGAATCGATGGTCCAGGAAGCGGCCCGGGCAGTGCCAATCACCGGCTCCAGCAGTTCCGCGCCGCGCCTCAGATCATATCCTAACTTTATCCCTTTATTCTCGGACGAGCTGCATCTGTTACAGGCCGCTGCGCTTCGGTTTTTCTATCGTGATCCTATGTGTCAAGCAGACTCTGTCGGATTACAATAATCCGCCGCAAGCGGATTTCCTATAACATGGCTCACCGCGGGGGTTTGTGGGTAGTGTAGTATTATTGCGGCCAATGCGCATTCAGTCATTATGGAACACGAAGATGCTCAAAATTAAATAAATAAATAAAGCATTATGAAATAAACGCATTTTTCATTTTTATTCTTTTATGTCATAATTGTGTTTTCCATGATAGCTCATATATATATATATTTTTTTTTGTAGTTCATCTTATTAAAAAAAACATCTGTCTTAGAAAATAGGAGAACGCTGAAATATTTGCCAAATTTAAGAATAAATGTTTTCCTTAAATTGTTTTTTGGACAAACGGTTTTCTGAACAAATGTACTTCAAAAAATGTCATAAATAAAGATGCCACTGAAAAACAAACGTCAACAAAATAAATACCAATTTAAAAAAAGAAAAGGCGAGAGAGATGAAGAAACATTGGCAAAGTGTGTTGAAAAAAGATGCAATGAAAATAAAAGCCACATAAAATAAGGCAAAGTTATGAAGTTGTTTTGTCATAATCATCAAGTCCATTTTTCTATTTCCCTGTTATACATTTTTGAAATGTCTGTCCTTGTGTCTCATTGGGTCAACAAATTATACCAACAGACAGCTCTTGAGGATGGGAAACATCTTCAGCATAGCCTTCCTGCATGGCATCCTTCAGGGCTGTATCCTTAGCCCACAGCTGTTCACACTGATAACCCACAACTGGGAGGTCGACAACTAAAGTACACAAAAGATGCAATAGCAGTGGGACTAATCTGGGATGACTATAATACCAAATAGGAACTTTGGGGAGTGGTGGCACAGAGGTTAGAGAAGATGGCCCTGTGATCGGAAAGTCGCAGGTTCAACTCCCGGTACCGTCAACATCAAAATGTGGGTGGAAAAGGTGAAACACCCACACCTGCCTCCACCCTCATTTGCCCCACTCTGGGCCCCTGAGCAAAGTCCTTAACCCCCACAATTTGCTCCCAAAAACAGGTCTCTCTTGAAAATGAGTTCTCGTGACTCAATGAGACTACCTGTATAAATAAAAGGTAAATTAAAAAAAAAAAAAGAACTGTAAAGAGCATTCTGACCAGTTGAAAATCTTTGTGGTTGATGACATTACAGTGCAAACTGAAGGCAACCGAGAAGCTCACCAGGACTTCATTTTCAAACATCCTGGCCGTGGCACAAAAAACAACAAATCAAACAAACAAAAAATAAATAAAAAGCCCAGCTCACAACACTGGCAAAGACTCCACCCATTCTCACCCTGGACTGTTTTTCAGGATAAAGGGGCAGAAGCATCTGGAGCAGAAACGTCAGTTTCTGCAATAACCCGTACCACCACCACACAAGAACAAGAACAAGAACACACAATAAGAACCTGCCCCATCTAACAACACACACACATTTACTCTGGATGGTATCTGTTACATATATGTGGAAATGTGCCAGATTTCATGCATGTGCAATGCCAAGATATTGCACCAACGGTGCAATAATCAAGATGGGGGTACACTATTTTTGTACACCCATTTTTATATTACTTTGACAAGTTATTCCTGAATAAAGTTGACAGTTTATCCCTCCAGCAAACATCTTTCACTCTATTTAAAACAAACTCGTCTCACCTCCTGTCATCACTTCTATCCAGGTCATGAACCAGCCAGTCAGTCAGGAGCATACTCTTTTCTCCTGCTGTCACGCTCCATCTAATCAAAAGTTTGAGAACTACTGCTTTGTTGTGTAATATGAAAACATGTTCAGGTTGCAACATCAGTTTAAATATTGGTTTCATTTACTTTCTCGATTAAATAAAAAAGTGAACAGGCACTCTCCATGTCCTCAGGAGGAACGTACCCCAAACCATCACACAGGAATGACAGGATGTGACGATAGAAGACTAAAATAAGAAAGAAACTATTAAATCAGAGACACAGGCATGAGAGATGTTGTATTTTAATATGTAAATTTGCTTAATCCTGAGACAGCAGGTTTGAGCCTAGGTTTTCAGAAGTGCATCTGGTGTAAAACAAATCTACCAGTTCGTTCACTGTGGTAAGTCCTGCAGAAGGAAATCACTTGTTTGTTGTAAAACAACACTGCTGTGATGTTGAGGTGCAAAACATACAAGTTCAAATGTGTTTTGTGCTTTGCTGTGGCTCAGTCACCTTTCTTCCTGAGACTGTTGGAACAGTGAAGACTTGGACAGTAGCGCCCCCATGTGGCTCATGATAAAATTACAAAAACAAAACCTGTACCTCTGGCACAGTATCTGCATCAGCACTTGGTATACACTGACCTGAAAAGTTGTCAACAAACATACAGAACGGAATATTTTAAAATTAAAAAACACTAAACTGTGTTTACCCGTTCACATTTGACAGCATACTGTATAGATATTAAATATTAGATATTACACGTTCACCTTACCACATAACACACATCAATGTGAAAAATCAAGAAATTTAGCTGCAGTGGCATCTGTTTTCCAGAAGTCCGTTATTCCATTGTTTGGTCCAGAAGCACCATAAAAAATATCTTATTCAGACTAATAAAATGTAGAATCAATTTCAACATAAAAAAATGCTTTAGGTCATTAATGCCTCATCCTGCAATTGGGAAGTAAAAAACACTGTATAAGAAACCCAGTACTGTTTATGTCTAATACGCCACTGGCCTTTTACTATAAGTGAAACTGCTCAGCAGTTATTTCATGTCCTGTTTTCAGTCTGCCACGATATGGTCGAGTGGAATGTGGAGGGTCTGAACAGTCAGGGTCAGTGGCAGGCCACCGCCTGGGCGTCCAAGAAGACAAAGAAAGCCAGAGAGTATGCAGGAAGCTGCAGGTGCTCAGCTGGAGGAAGACGCACTCCACTGAGGTCGGGAAGAGTTTTATCGTCCACCATCTTCAACACCGCTCTGTTCAGTTTCACCCACCTTCAGAAGAAAAAGAACGTTGTTCATTAAGAGAACAAGATAAACAGTTTATTCCAATCAGTGCTAGTCCTCAAGCCCCAGTGTCCTGTGTGTTTCAGGTGTGTCTCTGCTCCAGAACACCTGAGTACCATGATTCTGCAGAACTTGAAGATAAAGGGTAAATGGACTGTACTTATATAGCACCTTTCTATCTAATGAAGATACTGAAAGCTCTTTACAACACAATCTGCGCTCTCATTTACCCATTCATACAGCACTCTACTTGATCTATACAAATAATAATCAGTGCTTTATCACTTTCATACACTGATGGGACACACATCAGAGGCAATGAGGGGTTCAGTGTCTTGCCCAGGGACACTTCAGCATGTGACTGCTGGTGGAATCGAACCCCAACGTTCCCATTGGAAGACGACTGCTCAGCCACAGCCGTTCGATGTGTTGGAAAGAGGTAAATCGTGCATTTGAGCAAGAAAACGTTTAAAACATGCAGGACAGGGTTCCTGGGGATTAGGACTGGTGACATTCAAGGACAGTGAAAATGCTTCTTTTGAAAGGTTCTAAATGTTGTGCGTGATTCATAAAAATCCAACTGTACTTTTAAAAAATAAGATAATTTTTTCTACTCTGAGTAACAACACAGACTGTTACTGAACGTTTTGCAAATTTCTTTCAAATATACAGCAATCACATCCATTCTGATGCATTATAGGATGATATAAACTAATTTCTCTTACATCTAAAGTAATTTATTAGCAGATATGTAACATGACATTTATCAAAACCTGAGAACAGCAGTTTCTTCTGCACTCTTGAAAGTTTGTTGCAATCTGAAACAGCTCCGCTAGACGTCACCACATCCTACACACCGAGTCCTGACCTGGCTCTGCAGGATATTGTGGCATACCTCTTCATGATGCACTGGCCTGAGTCAGCTCTACAAAAACAAAATGCTTTTTTTTTCCTGACACGTGCAGTCTGTTTAAAACCAACACAACAATGAAGTCTATAGAAGTGTTACACAACAGCAGCATCGGTCCTTTCACCATCTGCTGCTGAAAACCTCATGTCTCAGGTGTCTTCCAGCTTGCAGGCGCAGCCTGTCATGCGGCCACGTCAGTGCTATCATGGACACCAGTCAGCCTTGATCATGTAGGGAATAATGTGACAACATAACTGAAAAATCAAGCCTATACCCCTCACAAGTAAAAGAGTGGCTTTAAGCCATCGAGGCCAGCCTGAGTACAGAACAGATAGATGAAAACAAGCCTAAAAAGGCAACTGGGTGCTAAACATACGTCTAAGATGACATAATCTAAGAAACCAGCCATTGGATCCTTTAACATATGATTAAATCTGGCTAACAGCAAACAAGAATAAATTATTGACTTAAAAAACTCCAGTCTTCACAGCTGAGGTTGTCCAAAAAGCTACCTACAACAAAAAATCGTGACACACCCATGGATGAATTTGTACATCTAGGCATGAATAACCTTTGGAGTCAACTCAGTTCAACATTGTCACCACAACTAAACAAGTTTTATGGATATTAAGCTTAAGTTTTGGTTGGTATTAGCCAGGAGTCATCCTCAACACTTATTTAGAGTAAACTCTCACATGACATGGTGCACATACCATCATTTACAAGGTTTGACCAAAATCCGCTATAACCTCATCATAACACTGGCAAAATGAATTGCTATAGGGACGCTAATGGTTAGGATGCACATCATGCAATAGACAAGATAAATGTGATTTCCCTCATGACTCTGTGTCTCTCTCCGAGATAAATGACTGTATTGAGGTGGCTAAGGCACCTGGAGCAGAGTCCCTCTTCCCCTGGTTGGTTGGACTGAAGGACAAAAGCCTCCACTGTGCTGCTGGAGACGAGAGCAGGAACTGAGATCCTCATCATCTTCTTACTCAGGTTCATTGATATCAGCACAACAGATCCTCTTGTATAGCTGCGAACACACAAACAGGAAGAAAAGTCTTATAAGATGAAAAATATTGTGCTGTTAAATTTTGGATGATTAAATTGCTTTAAATGATGGTGACTGGTTAATTGTTGACATTTTTTTATATGTGGTGCTACTTAGACTGAGTCAAACAAGTCTAAATACCCTGCGTAAAAACGTGTATTTTGTGCATTATAATATTATGTACATGTGAATAAATATCCTTCCTAAAATACTCGTGTTTTTATCTGAATTTACCATTCACAAAAATATTGAATGGTGACTAGACACAAGAACATAAAGTGGAAGTTGAATGTGAAACAGCAAGACTGCCTTCTGTAGGCTGCAGTGTAAATTAGTTCATGTTAATCAATGAATACTTTTCTAATAAGAAACAGAAATACATTTCTTTTGGATTTTTACCCATTTTTTGCTGTTTTTTGAATTATTACTGTAAAGAGAGGCCTGATTAGACTATCATAATCTGGAAAATGTATGTGATATATCTTTGAAATGTTATTTACTATTGAAAATGTTAATAAAAATTAAAGTCTAAAAAAAAAGAATGAAACAGAAATACAACTTGTTCCAGGAGTTGACTTCTGTTGATTCACATTGTCTACACTCTGCTGCTGTATTTAAAAACAAATAAATAATTCAGAAGACAAAACAAGGAAGAATTCAACATTATAATTTATTTTCTGACTTCTGATTCTTGAAATCTGTTTAAAGCACTATTTCGAATCTTCTGAAATTGGATTCTGTGGAAAGGTTATGACTAATAATTTCTTATCTGTTGTAGATATGTCTCTGAACAACCTCAGAGGTTACATTTCACACCAAGCATGCACATGCTTTGCACCTTGTTTCCTGTTTTTGGTATATTTTTGTGGCAGCATATAGCACCATATTGTGGCCTGGACAGTATTTTGGGTATTTTTTTATGCCTTTGTATTGTAGTGAACTAAGCCTCAGGTCAAAACCTGGACCTTCCTGGGACAGGAACTGTTATTTCATTGATTTGTATCCAGAAATACAAATTAAGCTCATCCAGAGACTTTCTAATTGTATCCTGCACTGATCAATTGAAAGAACACTCTTTTTTATTATCATTACTATTTTACAAATGTCTTGATAATCAAAGTGTGTTTAGTTCAAATCATTTTTAAATGTTGAAGTGAACTACTCATTTTAAATCAACTGTGAAACAGTATAAATGATTTTTAATCCTCATTCAAAGTAGAAATCAAGTTAAAATGCCTGTTACAAAGTAATTATGCATTTTTTTGATCTTCTGTCTGAAATGAGAAGGAGTGATGTCGGTCAAAAGTCAAGAGAACAGTCGCAAACAAGTTTATTGGAACGAACTGTCATGTTTTTAAATCCTCTCAGACAGAAATAAGAAGCTGGCACCTGCTGTCTTTCATCTCGCCTAAACATTTCTCTGTCTGTTCCAAAAACATTTTTCTGTCTGTTCCAAAACATCTCACTGTTTTTCTGACTTCTAGTAACCTCTTACGTCACTAAAACTACACCCCTGTTGGCTCTTTCAGCCAATCAGGACTTCACAAATGAACCGGAAACAGAACTCTTTAAATGTCGACACTTCCTAGTTCCAAACAGCTCGGAGAGCAGAACCGAACAGAAAAGTTGCTGGAGAGAACAAGAAGTTCCATACATGATCCGAAGTTCTTCCGAGTCTTGTGGGGATTATGGAATCTTCCACATCTGAGTGGAACTCTGACGGGCTCACAGCTCATGTGAGTCCACCTGGGAGGTGAGCTGCTGTTGAACGAAATGATCTCATGACTCCTGAGGTCACAGCTGTTCTTACGGAGACGCTGAAAAGCGTTGAAAGGCAACTCTACACCGAGGCCGAACTATCGTCTGCAAAGGTAAAGAGTCGATCTTCAACTGCGAAGTGTACCGTGGGTTAAGCTGCGTCCAAAGGAGCGTGTTGTTCTGGTTATAACAGACACATTCCCTCACCCATCTCTCTCCATTTAAACTTCATTTTCCCATCTTTAAAACTCTTCTATCTGCCAGTAATTAATCCAGATATTTTCAGAAATGTCTGTTGTATTTTAGTTGCAAGTGAGAAAATCATGGCCGTATGGTTTTCTCAGTGCAAAGCTCATTAATTAAGCTGTGTTATTGCGTTCAATCAGAATAATCACGTGTACAATGTTTGATGTTAAATTTTGATTCTGTTAATAAATGACCACATTCATTTTGGTGGGTCAAAGATAAACACGTTTCCGTCCACATTTAATATTCAAAACACTATAGTACTCAGTCCAGAAAAATGAAAGAATCCGTTTAAATTATGAATAATATCAGACACAGGTATCATTCATTACAGTATGGATGTCATTTCTAGAAATGGTGCCATGGTTATGGGACTTTTTGTTAGAAAGGACAAATAAAAAGACCATTTTGAAAACTGTGTTTCAGTTTGGACAACGTTTTTCTTCTGACATTTTAATTCTGACTGAGCTGACCAGCTAATGGTTAGTTTGAGCTGGGTTAAGACTAAACAGGATTGTTGCCATCTTTGAACAACTCTCGTGTCAAATATTAAGCGCGCATGTAAACAATATTTTAAATACTTTAACATCACCATCAGTTTTGCATTACATAAATATTCCAACAAAAAAACGATCAAATTCTAATCAGAAGTGCCTCGAGGCTGCGCTGGACGTGCTACAGCTAATTTCTGCTGCTGCTAATTGCAATCAAAGAATTAAGAAATGTGGAAAAAACAAGTAATATAACAGAACTGCAATGTAAAATTTATAAAATAGTATTTGAATGAAGCATTGTGAACATTTTTAAAGGCTTATTGTTTTAAGACAACAACCACGTTGTTTTAAGCCCTGTTTGGACCAGTTATTAGTTTATTATTAGTTTATTATTATTAATTTCTCAGTCTGGTCAAAACTAAACTCCATTTCCAAGCTGAGGTTGTTCAAAGCTTTCTTAAATTGTTTCTGAGCTTTCTAGAGAAGCCAATTTTAAGAAGTTCTGAGCGTTCGCTTTAAATTTGTTTTTTTGTTTTGGCTTAATTTTATGCTACAAGCTGTTAAAAATTAGCCTTTTTTCCATTGTCTGCTTGAGTACAGTCAGGTTTGAGCATATTTAGTCTTGCTTTGAGCTGCTGTGTTTTTGTGGGTACCTCTTTTTGTTAGCGCAGTGCAGATACAACCTCACTCTTTTACTTCGACCAAAACCAGAGACCGTTTGTATTTGCAAAACCTCTGGTCCAACGAGTCTCTTGTAGAGAACTGACAGCCAATAATCCTGAAATGAGAAACAACACAGTCCAAGCTTGGTTAAATTTAAGGAGACTTATTATGAAAAAAATACTCTTTGTAGTGAAAAAGCTGCTAGAGTTCAACTTTAAACCCAAACAGATGCAATTCACTTAAGAGGTCTTACAGGAAGAGGATCCAGTTCATCATCGATCATGTGGTAACTCCCAGATCCGACCAACACCTGCCTCATCACGATGTCCAGGCCCAGTTTGGCTGCCAGACCTAATTTATCCAGCCACCTGCATCGATCCAGGTACAGTGGTGTGGTCACACACAAGTTCTTTAAGATTATTAAAGCACAAATAGAACTAAAATGTTTATTGTAACAGCAGATAACAAGGAGTTTTTCAACAAAAATGTGATGAAATGCACCTGCAGGTGTTTGTATGTAACTTTACATATATTGTCATCCAACTATCAGATTAATCTAGGTCTAAATGAGTCAAAGCGGACATAAATGCATAAATTCGTCTAAAAGTGTCACATTCAATTTATTTCCAACTCACATGAATCCTGCAGCAAATGTGTCTGACAGTCCTGCAGCTCCCCCTCCAAAGGCCGAGCTTGTCTCTCCGAGCCACACTGACTTCCCTGGAGACACCTGCTTGACTGTCTAAACCAGAATAAATAAATAAAAAATCACATTGAAACAGAATTCTCTTTCAACACTGATGCATGAAACTCTATATTCATTTTTCAACTACCTGCAGGACTTCATTGATCTTTAAGGCTAGAGAGTCGAGAACACCAGGATCCAGAAAATCCTTTAAAGACGTGTCTCTCCCATTCACATAATAACTAGGAGACAGAATAGAGCAATAAGGAAAAATACAACAAAGTTATTTCAGTGATAAAGCAATAAAAATGAGCTGCTTCCTCTTCTCCCCAGAGCAAACCTCCACTTCTTTGGACTCTCTTCCACCTGCTCATAATCTCACTACAGATCACATAGTCGTCTGCAAACAGCAGAATCCACAAGGATTGTCGTCTGACTTCATGTGCCAACATCATCCCCTATCTGTGCTAACAAATCTGTTTTAATCTCATCTGGTGATTTTGAGAATTTGCCTGAAGTTTATTTAAAACTTTTTTTGCAAGGTTTGTTTTTGAGTTCAGGAAAACTCTTTTGTTTTTACAGTTTTCTCACTTTCCAGAATGGTCAAATTGCTTTATTTGTTTAACAATAAAAAGCAGGAATCACCTTAACTACTAGTCTAAATTTAATTCAATTCAATTCAATTCAATAATACTTTATTAATCCTAAAGGGAAATTAAATGTTGTAGTAACTCATTATCCTCATTTCATTAAAAGATGTTATAGATGCTGATGGCTGTAGGCAAGAAGGATCTCTTGTAAAGGTCCGTCCCACAGTGGATCTGAAGAAACTGGCTGCAGATGCTGTCCAATCCATCCACCCAGACACAGTTGGCCTCTTAGTTCCCCGGGCTGCAGGACCGCCCGAATGCCAGGCTGAACTCCTCCCTGAGCAATGGCCACTCCTTCCAGCAGCTTGCTGAGCTACTCATGGCCGCAGACAGCCGGCTACAGGTGCTGGGGGACGATCCCGGTCCATCTGCTGTCACGAGCCACATTTCTTGCCAGTTCCAGGATCTCCTTATGAGCTCTTAGGATCTCAGTGGTCAGGCACTCGAGCACAGCCTGCAGGTAGACAGGAATGCATCCATGGAGCCTCCTTTTCAACTCATTTGAGATTTGGGGCTGTAGCTGAAATATTATTTGAGCTTTTGAGATCTTAATCAGCTGCTCCCGGTTGTAAAAAAAAAAAACACAAAAAAACCACCTTGTTATGGTTACGCATCATAATAAATGTCCAAAAGTAAAAAGGCTTCAGTAAAAATCCGTCCAGTTTCACAGCATCCAATGCCAGAGGAAGTAATCATCCAAAAAAGTGATTTACATCCAGAAAAACAGGAAGTAAAGTTTTCAAAAGCAATATCTCAGATTGAACGTATGAGAGCTACTTCAACATGCAGCCACCCCGAGCGGCACAATTCTAGAACATATTCATTGTAACATAACCAACAGGAAGTGTCTCACTAAGCTAAGTGAGAGACTAAGCTAAGTGTCTCAGGAAGTGTTGGCATTGCACATGCATTGGTTATGTCATCATTGTAACATAACTAATGCTGACTGGAGATTTGCTCTGCTGCATGGTGAGTCATGATGTTGGGATTTTGTTAGTATGGGTAGGTGCTTTCTTGTTAAATGTTTTTATTTATGTTTTTTTTCTGTTAGTTGTATTTAAGTTAACTGGCTTTGATTTTTGTGTTACTGACCCTTTGTTCCCAAGCTCTTGGATTTTTCTGCTGCTTCTCACCAGTCTAATTAACTCATCTGTCCCTTGGTACAGTAATCATCCCTCCCCATTATAGAAGCACTTGGTTTCTAAGTTCACTTGTAGAATCCTATCATTTACTCTCTTTGTCATATTCTGGGTTAATTTGGACAAATAAGCATACAATATTGCAAAGAACTGGAGTCACAGTTTGCTGAAGGTGAGCTTACTGGTGCCAGGTGCAGGCATCAACAGCCTCAGCTCCGCTCTGCAGGAAGCTGCAACAAAAAAAAAAAAAAAAAACACACGTAGTGTAACTAATAAGAGAGATCAGTTACAAGAGAAAAAGCTCAGTCTTCATTCATCTGTGTGACTCAGTGCTCAGCTGCCTGATTGTTCAGTGCAGCAGGTTTATTGTTAACTTTTATAGAAGCTGAGATAATGTACAGGAAGTAAAAGGTTTACAGAGATACACTGGAAAAGTCATTCCTCCTCACACACTCTGAAAACAGTTTACAAGTCAAGCCAGCATTTCATTGACCCTTTATTTATACAGGTTTGAGCCACGAGAACTCATTTTCAAGAGAGACCTGTTTAGGGAGCAGATGGTTTAAGGGCCTTGCTCGGGGACCCAGGGTGGGGTGAATGAGGGTGGAGGGAGGTTTGGGTGTTCCATCTTTTCCACCCACATTTTGATGTTGACGGTACCGGGAGTTGAACATGTGACTTTCCGATCACAAGCCCATCTTCTAACCTCTGCGCCACCACTCCCCCGAGCATGATACAAAACTTTAGCAGAACCAGAATAGTTAATGTAAATTTGGATTTTGTTGTTTGGAAATGTAAAATCTTCCAAGACAGCTGCACCAGATTCAGCTGGACAAAAACAAAATATCCATAAAAAATGTTGGGTGATTATTAAATAACTGGATCAGCACCAGCAGCTGTTCATCAAACAAATTACTATATTACCGTATTTTCTATATATATCATATAAGTCTTGTTAAAGTCCTCCCGTGCGCGCTCCCGCGGCCGTCATTTGGCAGCCAATTGATTTTTGGCATAACTCTGGCCCATGTTTCTGGGGGTCAGCAGTGAAGCATTATAAATGCGACTTATACGGCAAAGCGGCTTATTTATGTTTTTTCCACTTTATTAGACATTTTTGGACTGATGCGACTTATACGCCGGAGCAACTTGTACGGTGGAAAATATGGTATATATGCATCAGGGGTGTACAATATAAGACACTCAGTTGCAATATCGGAGCTGCGGTAGTTCAGTGGTCAGTGCCACAGCCTCATGATTCTGTGGATGTGGGTTTGAGCCCAGGTTGCATCAGGCAGGGCACCTGGTGTCAAACAATTGCCAAAATGTTGCTGTGGCGACTGCAACAGTGTCAAGCCAAAAGAAACAAACACAACAAACAAGAATATTCAGCTGCAGTATCATTATGTGGGTGATATTAGCTGCGATAAACCCATATATTACAACACACTGTAGGCATTTAGTGAGTGGAGGTCTATGTGATCACCAAATATGTATTTATATTTGTGATTTACTGAAACTGACACGTTCATTTCATTTATTTATTGTGTTTATTCATTTAAAAATTATTTTTATATACAGTAATCCAAAACACAGAGTACATCAATCCATGAATGAAAGGGAGCAGCGAGAAGATTATTATTATTTTTATTTTATCACATCTGCCCCTTATGTGGATGTATTGTGTCGTCCTAAAATGCACATGTTTGAATTTCATTTGTTCTTGAAGTGCTGTGCAGTGGAGCAGCAGCTGGTACTGTCACCTCACAGCAAAAAGGTTACTGGTCAAGTCTCAGCTGGTGACGTTCTTGTGTGAAGTCTTTATGTTCTCCTCGTGCATGTGTGGGTTTCCTCCAGATCCTATAGTTTCCTCCCATAGAATAAAAGCCAGCATGTTAGAGTAATGAGATCCATGTTGATCTCAGTGTGTGCTTCTATGTTGGCCCTTAATTAGACTGGTAATGTTTCTAGAGTGGACCTAGTCTCTAACTTGTTGACTGCTGGCACAATTAAAAACAATTTATCTTGAGTTTGTTGGTTTAATAATAAAGTATTTTAAAAGCATACTCAGTTAAATATGTGTGGCAGAAACATTCTCATGCCACATCTGGATCTCACCTCTTCAGTAAGTCCACCCTGTGGTCCCTGGGCTGGCCCACGTCCGGCCCGTACAGCCCGGCGTTCCGGTAGAGTTTGGACTTCAACATCATCTGTCTGAGATGATCAAAATCCAGTCCGAGCTGATACCCATCCACCCGAATCCCTGCTTTCTTCTCGTAGCTGTTTGGCTCTGAAAACAGGCAGACACTTTCAGCGGACTGATGCAGTGCAGATATCACTTCCTGTGTGCGCCACGACAGGAAGTGAAACTCAAACCTCAGATATGAAACCTTAGAAGTTCAGTATTACTTGAAAGCAATATTCAACAAAGGAAGAAAAAAAGAGGAAGTTTGTCTGGTCAAACTTTCAAACTGTTTTTTTTTTTTTTTTTTTTTTTGAATAAAACAGTGATCACTTCCCTTCACTTCAGCCTGTATGGCAAAGTTGGTCAGGTTGTTTTGTACCCTTAGCAATAATAATAATAATAATAATAATAATAAAAAGAAGAAGAAGAAGCCACAAAGCATAATATCTCCTAATTTTAGGTCATATTTAGCATTTCTCTTCCTCCATACATGGCAGGTCAAGTTGATGCCAAAGAGCTCTGTTTTTCTATCATGTGTGAGTTCCTGTGTTTGTTCCTTTGTACTGAAATTCTGGCACAACAATTTCCTGCAGGATCAATAAAGTTCTATCTTATCTTTTGTCTCATATCACCACAGCACGTTCTCCCCAGCCTTCTCTGAATTTTTGAGATGTTCACTGGCAGGGGGCCCATACAGTACAAAGTATCAACCTACTGCAGCAGTGTGCATGTGCGTGTTACCAATGGTGTCTTGATGACTGTGGACCCAAATGCCTTTGGGTCATTAACAAACTCCTTCTGTGTAGTTGTGAGCTGATCCCTCATGTCTCTCATCATCATCCTTGCAAGATCTTGCATGGTGCTCCAGATCATGAAGGGTTGATACTTTTTTATACACTGCCTAGCCCAAAAAAGGTCATCACCTGGATTAAAGTAAATAGGCAAGAGCCTCTCATTGGATGATTACTGCATGGTTAATTATGTTTCAACTAAGTTATTTAACCTTAACTGAAGCAGTGAGTAGCTTCTCATTTAAGCAACCATGTGGAAAGACATCTTGTGGTCGTGGAAAAGATGATCTGTTTCAAAAGGGTCAAACTACTGGCACGTATCGAGCAGAGAAAACATCTAAGATTACTGAAACTACTCAAATCAGGTTAAAAAAAAAAACTCCAATGAATTAGTAAAAACTGAAAGGATGGGGGGAGTGAGCATCAGGGTAAGGAGAGGAGGTTGAAGTGATGCACCCATCATGCCTGGAGCCTGCTGTACAAGCCTGTGGGGGCAGTTGGCTGATTACCTGAATATACTGAATGACCTTCAATTCACCCCATGGAGAATCATTGGCATGTGCTGGAGAAGACTTTGCAAAAGGTCTAAATCTTCAGTCATCAATTTAAAGTGTATGCGACTCTGGACAGAAATAGATATGACTTCGTAGAAGCTTGTGGAAACGATACCACAGTGTGTGCCGTAATCAAAGCTAAATGTGGTCCAGTGAAATATTAGTGACCTTTTTTTTCGGCAGGCAGTGTATTGTTTCCATGAATAACCACACAAATGGGTCTTGTGGCCCATTATAGCCTTGTGCAAATCTCCTATCTTCTCCCTGGCATCCTTTGACAACTCCTTTGTCTTGACTGTGATGGTGGACAAGTTGGAATGGAAGAAACAGATTCTGTAGCCAGGTAAAAGATAACTCAAACAGCTGATATGTACCATTTCCTAGCTCCCATGACATGTTGTATTGTTTGGACTCGCAGTACTGCAGCAGAGAGAGGGCATTGCTGCTGTTCCAGCTGTTGTCAGCCGTCCTGAGCAGAGCATTGAGGCCGAAGATCAGCTCCAAGCCGGAGCAGCTGGTGAAGGAGTGCAGCACGTCCACGGTGAGCTCTGAGACACAGGAGGACAATCAGACGCCACGTTGAGCATCTGGGTGGAGACAAAGCTGGAGCATCAGAACCCACCTGTGAAGTGGACTCTCCGGTACTTCCTCTGTTGCTGCTCTTTGATGAGGATCTGCTGCTGCAGAGTCCAGTCCTCCTTCAGCCTGCTCTCCAGCCACCAGGGCAGCCGTACATCGCTGCAGGACTCATCTGATGGCACAAGAACACGTCATCGCCTCTAAAAAGCCAAGACTCAAGCATCACCAAAGTCTGTCTGTAGTTCAGGAATATAACAACGTGCAGTGAGACCTGCATCCAGCTGTCTGCTTCTCTGAGGGTTGAACACCATGAAGTCCTGACTCGTCCCCCCAAACCTTAAAAATGCTGGACTCAGAGCTTTGGCCAGAGTTCTGATTTTCTGAGATCTGCAGGAAGTGAGACAAATGAGTCCAGTTTTGGTGATGATGAGTGTCGTCAGTTAGACTTTGAATGTTTTAAAGCCTTTGTACCCTGGCTTTTAGTGGGTACAAAAAGACGGCACCTGCCATTGGTCTCTTTGTACCCAGCTTGTGGCCACCTGTGAGTGTGAGCAGCTTTAATTTTGCAAGTTTTATTTTTACCCTTGTGTTTAAGAGATTGATACAGATGGACACATTTTGTGATACTTGTGATTTTTTAAGAGGTTTACCAAAACCAAAACCAGATGAAAAACTATTTAGATTGTGCAATATTAAGTATAGTACAAGTTATTTATCTTTAACAAGCCATACTTATTATTTTAATCACAATTTCAGGGTAAAAAGGAAACGCCTTTACTGACTTTTACCAAAAAGTAGACTTTCGGTTTGACATTCATAAAACTTTACTGAATATCAGTTGATTTAATCATTTATAAAGAGACATGTTTGCCTTTGGAGAGCTTTGGGAACAAAAGTGCACAGTGATCTAACAGAACATTTGTGCAAACATTAATAAAACAATAATTACTAAGTTTGTATTTTGATGTGAGCATCTGATAGTTTTGCTCCTGTCATGTTTTATATGAAGCTTTAACATCTCACCTCCACTGAAATAAAGGAAGATTTCCACTATTTTCTTGCTGCTTTATCTATTTCCGTTTACTTTCATTTCAAGTTACCTGAGTCAGGGTCAGAACATGAAACTGAAACTCAGCAGAGATCTTTATCAGCTCTAAGAATCTGAATGTAAACGCTTTAAATATTGTCTCAGTCCTGACCCTGATCCATCTGGTGGATGGTTTGACGCAGAGTTTGGCGCATTTACGCATCTCACCTCAGCAGGAGCATAAACCTCTCCTCTGAAGCCAGACTTGCGTCGATGGTGACGGACAGAAAGCGCGGATCCACCCGGCGGAACACCGCCGACAGGTCCGGATCCAGAACCAGGTCCGGCCCATAGCTTCCCCTGAAGCGTCCCCGTCCTCCTCTGACGCGGAACCCGTCGGTCCCCACAAAGAAGAAGACCAGCAGCAGGACTGGTCTCATGGCTCCAACAACAGCAGAGACACTTCCTGCCTCGGAGCCGGTCTGCTGTGGCACCACCCAGCGGGGACTCAAGCTGGCAGGAGCCAAGAACCCAGATGGAGTTCCTCAGGGACACACTGACCTGATTTCTCGAACGTGCACAGATGTGGGAGAAGATCCAGACGTGCATGAACAGGAATACAGAAAACTGCTGGCTCACTTTGTGGCACCAAACACCTCATGTTCTGAACACTTCACCCAAAGAACAAAATGAAACATTAAAGAGAAAGTTCAGATTTTTTGGATTGGTGTTCTGATGAAATGTTGTGAACAATCTATAAACCTCCTCAGTTTGGATGTGTACTAATAAAAACTTCAATTTAAATCCCTGTGAGCCACACAAGCACCATCATATCAACTTTTCATCGCTCATCGCTTATTAACATGTAATTCCGTGCGTATTTACAAAGTTCAACTAACAGCAGCAGCCAGCTGTAGCACCTCGGGTTCAGTCGGTGCAGGAATGTTGTATTTACTTATTTTGTTGGAATTATAGTGTAATGTCAAAATAATCCCATTGTAAAAGTGATCCACTTGGGTTTCACTTTTGTTAGCAAAATATCTCATGCGCCACTGGACATGTTTCAGTGAAACTCACAACGTAATCACTGGTTGTGCATCTTTTAATTAACTTATTAAACCACTTCAACTCAAGATGACTACCACAGCTAACCAAACTAGGCCAACGCAGAAAATAACTAATGTTATGAAGTTTGCTGATATTTAAGAAAGCTTTGGTGTGGTGGAAACCAAGAGTCAAACTCTGAGCACTAATCCTTGCACCGCATCTTTACTTCAAACTAAGACATTAATTGTTACAGTCAACATTGTGGGTCTGTTAGCAAAATATCTCATGCACCTTCTTGGCCAATTTTCACGAAACTCAAAAAATTAATAATAAGTTAGATTAGATTTTACTTTTTTCTAACCCAGTTCAAGATGGCTGCTACAGGTAGTCAGCTTCATCCAGCATAAAAATGGCCATAACTTAATCAGGTTTACAGATTACTGAGCTAACATTTGATGTGGTAGTAGTTATAAATCATTCTTTTCATTGCTTTTTGTCATAGAATGGTTGTGTGCCTCTATGTGTCTCTGTGATGGACTGGAGACCTGTCCAGGGTGCCCCCCGCCTCTCACACAGTAACTGCTGGATACGGACACTAGTGATCCCCGAGATCAGCAAAGAAGCAGGTAAAGATAATGGATGCAAGGATGGATGGATAAATATCAAATAACAGGAATAGATTAATATATCTAACCATGTGCATCATCTGCACTGCTGGAACATCAGGATAATCTGAGAGAAAACTGAGGGTGTGAACTTGACTGAAGGACATAATCCATTTGGGTCCTCAGGGTCACAGGAGGTCACTTTCATTGAATATTTGCATCAGCGCAGTTTTTCTTCTGTGCTGCAGCTCACTCTTCTGGGTGAAAATGGGAATCTGCATTGTGCTTCAATGGGAAAAAAAACAGCCAATTACTGGTAACTATAAGTCTGAAAGTTTTAAAGTAGTTGATTGTAATGAAATAAATTACATTTATTACAGTTTGTCTCAAAGACCATTACAAAAAAAAAGGAGAAAAACGCAGGAATAACTTTAAACAAGTTTTATTTTTAATTAAACCAAAATTATCATCTGAATAATGGAGACTTTGGCGAGCTGTCTCCTTAACTCCCAGTCACCGGTGGAACCTGAAACACTCAAACAGGATCCCAGGGCGAAGGGCCTGGGTCGTAACACTTTATACCCAAGTTGTATGAAATCCACCCCTTTCTGTGTGCTTGAACTCTACAGGATGAGAGATGAAACATTTTCAAGAACCAAACAATGAAGTGATAGAAGGTCTCAACATTACAAGACCACAAAAAGTGGGAATCTTCCGCTGAAACTAGTCAGTTAAAAAAATGTGTCTCAACTTGTTTTGGGGGACTCATTTTCCATCTGTGTACAAAAGAATACCAAACAATCACACCCTTTTTGTTTCCACACAGGCCTCACAGGGACATGATACATAAAGTCTTTGTCACTCTGCTGACAGGCTGCATTAAGTTACATGTATCAAATCCTCACTCCATGAGTTGGACATTTACAAAGAAAAAATACTTAATATAAGATTGTTCATTGGATTTCTTTCTCCGGTTAATGAGTGGAGGTGTGGAAGTCCGAGGGGAGGAACTTCTCAAAGAATGTGGCTCATCAGGTTAGAGTCGTCTAACCCAACTGGTTAGACACATCCCAGCAAAGGCCAAATTCACTCTGGAAAATCACAATAAACCGGAGTTTGCCTTTGATTAAGCTTGTTATCCATCTGGATTGTTGTTTTCCCTCCTGAACCTGTCAGATTCCCTGGCAGTCTGTGCGGACTGTGAGGAAACCTGGACCACGATGGCAGTCAACCTGAGTAAGAACGGCCGCGCGCTGCTGGACGCCTACAATGATGTGTTGAATGGCAGCTCAGATACAAACTGGTGAGCTCCTTTTTCTGTTGCGTGGATAAAACACGAGGATTGGAGCTTTTTGTTCACTCAAGGCAGTCGCTGCTTTCATCTGTTTTCAGGGCTCTGTTCACTTATGAAGGCAACAGTAATGACATTCGACTGGCAGAAAAAGGAGGTGAGACCTGGAATATATTCCAAGCTGCCTTTGGTGACAGCTTAGCTCAGATTTAAACACCAATCCATTTCAGGTTCCTGCTTGGTACTGTCATGTGTGTGTGTGTGAACGTTAGCAAACCGTCTTCACCATGTGATGCCTCCGTGCACTGAGTGTATACATTTGGTTCAAACGCAGCATCCTGGAAAATCTGAGGCCCGGAGTCAACAAGAGATCGAGCATATTACGCTGGCCTGAATCAAAAGATGAATAGTCATTATATTATAACAGTCATTTAATCGTTAAAGCTCTTATCAAGGGCTGTTTGCACCTCAAACTGCACTGCTATGTAAGGAGTTAACATTCATGTATTCACATTGAACCATTATAACACAGACATCTGGCTAAGCTACATAAAGGATATATTTGTTACAGATGATCACCGCTATCATCTTAAAGAGGGGAAACGCTTTTTGTTTGTTGTTGTACAAAAACAATGTTTTATGTTAATTGCCACACCAGAAATAGAGCAGAAGCCCTGTTGATCAGCTGTGGCAGCCATGTTGCATTAGGCTGACTACAAAGTAAATCACTTAATGTGTATTGGATTTTTTTGGGGGGGATGGGGGTGGGGGGTTCATTAAATTTCATCCAGTGGTTTATGAGATATTTTTCTGACAGATACAGTAAGTACACAACATACAGGCAAGAAAACAAACAAACAAACAAAAAAACCCATTATTGACCACCTTTCATTTATTAATAATGAGATTTAAATCCTGTGTTTTTCCTGTAACTGTGACATCACAGCCCTAGTTTTGAAACAGAATAAGTGGCTTGGTGAGCTGAATTCTGGTTTTAAATGTTTTCTGACAGCGTTGTGTTACCTGACCTGCTCTGCAGCAGATCAGGTGACACATGCCTCTAAATGAGTTGTTTAGAGAAATGAAAGGATAAAATCAGTGTGTGGACAGGGAGAGATGCTTCTTCTGTCACTGTGAGATTTAAACTGTTCTGTTTTACTTGCACAAAGTGGAACTTTTATAAGGGATATATGTGGAGAAAAGGGCAGCACGGAGGCGCAACTGGTAGAGCTGCTGCCTCTCAGCGAGCAGGTCCTTGGTTCAAACCCCGGTCCTGGGGCCTTTCTGGGTGGAGTTTGCATGTTCTCTCCGTGCATGCGTGGGTTTTCTCCGGGTACTCCGGTTTCCTCCCACAGACCAAAAACATGCATGTTAGGCTGATTGGTAACTCTAAATTGTCCCTAGGTGTGAGTGAGAGAGTGAATGGTTGTTTGTCTCGTTTGTCTCTTTGTGTCCCTGTGATGGACTTGCGACCCGTCCAGGGTGTACCCCGCCCCTCGCACAGTGATTGCTGGACATGGGCACTGGTGACCCCCGTGACCCAAAATGGAATAAGCGGGTAAAGAAAATGGATGGATGGATGGATATGTGGAGAAAGAAATTATTATACAGCTTAAAAAAACTATAAAGATCTTGTTGCCATTTCCTCAGATGAGATCATGGGTTGGGTGCACAGTGGTTTATACAGTACGTGTTACACTGGATCCAATTTGATTGTTTTCATCTTAATGAATGTTATCAAAATTAATAAAGTTACAGAATCTTCAAAGTTAGGGTTAACTAAGTCAGATAACATGAATACATATATATATATATATATATATATATATATAAACATAAGTCAAGTAAGTTAGTAAGTAAGTAAAGTTTATTTATAAAGCGCTTATCACAGACGTAAAATCACAAAGCGCTGTACAATAAAAATCAACGCTAAAATATACAAAGAATAAAACAAACATAAAAACTACAAGAAGCACAATAAAATCATGACATAAAAGCGTGGGAGAATAAAAGTGTTTTCAGTTGCTTTTTAAAAACCTCAACAGAGTCAGCAGTGAAGTGAAGGCTTGAGGACCCAAATGTAGACTCCTAGAGTGATTTACTTGATGATGGAAACACTTCTTTATTTCACCTGTCAAACTGAACACAAGGAACTAAAACAAAAAGTTAAAGATACAACGTTAACGCGAAAAACTCATGTTAGAAACACAATAAATCATGCAACTGTGTGTGTGTGTATGTGTGCGCACAGATGGTGGGTTAGAAGAAATGGTGGAAGAGCTGAACAGTGGGAAGGTGATGTATGCCTTCTGTCGAGTCCAAGACCCTAACTCTGGTCTGCCAAAATATGTCCTCATAAATTGGGTGAGACACACACACACACACACACACACACACACACACACACACACACACACACACATACACACACACACACACACACACACACACACACACACACACACACACACACACACACAAACACACATCATGAATTGTTTCCACTTTCTATCGCTTCAGCTTTTTAAGAGCATGTCTTTTATTCATAAATCTTACATTCTAGATGACTGAAAAGCTTCAGTCAGGTTTGAGCTCACCACAGCACTGAATCTGTACTGGTGAAAGTCACTAATGATATTCTCATGGCCTCTGACAATGGACTTGTGTCTATACTGGTCCTGTTAGACCTCAGTGCTGCATTTGATACAGCTGATCATAATATTCTACTACAGAGGCTTGAATATGATATTGGGATTACAAAAACAGCTTTAATTTGGTTTAAGTCATATTCATCTGATAGATTCCAGTTTGTAAATGTAAATAATGATTCTTCTTCATACACCAAAGTTAGTCATGGTGTTCCTCAGGGTTCAGTGCTTGGACCAATACTGTTTAACTTGTATATGCTTCCATTAGGTAAAGATTTTAAACAGCATGGGATAAAATTTCATTGTTATGCTGATGATGCACAGTTATATTTGTCCATGAAACCCAATGAATCCAATCAGCTACTTAGACTACAAACATGTCTTAAAGACATAAAAACCTGGATGACCCTTAATTTTCTGCTTTTGAATACATCCAATTGGGTCTCACCTTGACACTCAAACAACAATTCTGAGGTCCACAATGCCAGACAGGACATAATAATATTGTTATTATTATTGTTATTATTTTGAATATGTGAATGTTTCTGTTCAGTGCCCTGAGATGACTTCTGTTGTGACTTGGTGCTATATAAATAACCTGGATTGAACTGTATTGAATTGACTGAGTCAAATAATCCACTTCTTTAAAGTTATGGTTTGGGGTGAGGGAGGGCGGTCAAAATGCAAGTCCAAGAACTGAAACTGACTTAGACAATGACAATAATCAGGCAGCTTGTAAAGCAAACAGAGGAGACTAAAGGAATGAAAAGTTGATAAAGAACAGGTGAGCAGAAACAGGCGTGAATAGGAATCAGAGTCATAAGTAGATTCAGGTTCTACACAAAGGGGGATGATGATGAAGAAATGGAGACAGCTTTGGTACATTCATGGCTGTATAAAAAAAAAAGACATCAGTACTTGTACTGCATATTTTTTCACCTTGTAATCCTGAGGTTACAAGTTCAAGCCCAGGTTGCGTCAGGAAGGGTATCCGGCATAAAACATTTGCCAAATATTAAATGCGAGTTTGTTCGCTGTGGTGATCCCTGAACAAGAGTGCAGCCGAAATAAACTTATTCTTCTATCAGGGCAAAAAATAAAATTTGAAGTGATGTGGTCAGTGGCAGTTCTTTCCACCCAGGGTGATATCCCAATTGTGTCTTCATGTGTGCATTCTCCTAAACTTGGCTGTGTACAGTATGTGTGTGTGTTTCCCTAGACAGGTGAGGGTGTGAAGGACTCTCGTAAAGGAATGTGTGCCAACCATTTGAGCTCCATAGCAGGTTTTCTCAAGGTGAGTCTGAATCAAGTGACAGTGAAGAAAACAAACACAACCCTTACTCTCAAACTTTAAATAAGTCCCAGTTTGTTTGCCGCCTTCAACATTGTACTGTATGTGTGATCACAGGGAGCCCATGTAACAATAAACGCCCGCTCAGAGGAAGATGTGGAGCCGGAAACCATCTTGGCCAAAGTGGCCAAAGCATCTGGAGCTAACTTCAATTTTCACAAACAAACACAGTATACAGAGCCACCCAAAGGACCTGTGGTGAGAAGACACAGAGACACTTTAACAAACGCACTATTACATTTATAGAGGAATACAAACAATTAGTAATGATGCATCATGTTAGTTTGTTCCTGCACCAAGGCATAACATCCATCCATCCATTATCTTTACCGGCTTATTCCATTTTGGGTCATGGGGGTCGCTGGTGCCCATGTCCAGCAATCACTGTGCGAGGGGCGGGGTACACCCTGGACGGGTCGCAAGTCCATCACAGGGACACATAGAGACAAACGAGACAAACAACCATTCACTCTCTCACTCACACCTAGGGACAATTTAGAATTACCAATCAGCCTTACATGCATGTTTTTGGTCTGTGGGAGGAAACCGGAGCACTCGGAGAAAACCCACGCATGCACGGAGAGAACATGCAAACTCCACCCAGAAAGGCCCCTGGACTGTGGTTTGAACCAAGGATCTGCTTGCTGAGAGGCAGCAGCTCTACCAGTTGCGCCACCGTGCTGCCCCCAAGGCATAACATTAGTTTCTAAATCAAAGAGTGCCAAAAGCCTAAGAAGGAAGAAGTCTTACATACCTTTTGGATCTAAATCTACATTAGTTGTGCTGATAGGATGAAAGTGGTGAAAATAAATTCCTTGATTATGCCTAACCCTAAAGCATGGTAGCACTGCTGTCAGTCATTTAGTAATAATAATGTGTATTGTCATAGTTGTATGTTCCCATACAATGGCGAAATTGGCTCTCTGCATTTAACCCATCCACCACCAGGTGGAACAGTGGGCAGCTATTGAAAGCACCCAGGGAGCAACTGGGGATAAGGTGTCCTGCTCAGAGACACAACGAGATGTGCAATGATTTGCATATTTGTTTGGGTTTTTATGACATAAAGAGTTACATGGCTGTTAGAAAGGAATACTTATACTATGGTAAACATAGCATAATCTCCATTAACACTAGATTTATTAGTCATGTAAAAAAATTGTGTAACATGAATAGCATATTTGCAACGCCACACATACACCTCACATAGCTCGTTGTAGCTCTAGATGATGCCATTGCTTGTCTTTCATATCCATATCATTAATTCAATTCAATTCAATTCGAAAATACTTTATTAATCCCAAAGTGAAATTAAATGTTGTTGTAGCTCGTTGTCCTCGTTTCATTAAGAGCTGTTATAGATGCTAGGAAGGATCTCTTGTAAAGGTCTGTCCCACAGCGTATCCGAAGAAACTGCTCGCTGATGCCATTCAATTCTTCCATCCAGACTAGGCTGGCCTCTCGGTTCATCCGGGCAGCAGGACCCCCCGAATGCTGGGCAGAACTCCTCCCAGAGCTATCTCAAATACCTGAACAGAAGCCACACCTCCCAGCAGCCTGCAGCTCCTCGTCGCTGCGAACAGCCAGCTGCAGGTGCCGGGGAACGATCCTGTCTGTCTGCTGTCACGAGCTGAGTTTCCTGCCAGCTCCAAGATCTCAGTGGTCAGGCACTCGAGCACAGCCAGCAAGAAGACGGGAATGCATCTACGGCACCTCCTTTTCAACTCATTTGAGATTTTGGGCTGTAGCTGAGATATTATTTGAGTTTTTGAGATGTTCATCAGCAGCTCTCGGTTGTAAAAAAAAACACCTTGCTGTCATGGTTACACATTATAACATATAACCAAAACTAAAAAAGTTTCAGTAAAAATCCTTCCAGCTGCACAGCATCCAATACCACAGGAAAAAAAATCATCACAAAAAAATGAGATTTACGTCCAGCAAAAGAGGAATTAAAGTTTCCAAAAGCAAAATCTCAAAATTAATGTAACACAGATACTCCAACATGCAGCAACCCCCCCCCCCCCCCCCCAAGTGGTGCAATTCTAAAACACAAGAGCTTCTAGAGCTTCATGTCACTGGCAGTGTCCTTTTTGTTCATCTCGCATAGTGAAATCTATTTTTGAACCAAATGCTCAGCTTCTCTTCTGTTCACCCAACAGAGCTCTGTGTATCAAAAAGTCAATGCAGTGAAGGAAATTCAACAAACCAACAAGGACGACTTCTGGGTCCAGACTCAGGTTTCTTAACAGTGCACAACACGAGCCACCATCCAAACCTAGAAAAGGAGGAAAATTAACCTGTTTTGATAAGCTTAAACCTAACTACATTTTATTTCAGAGGGATGAAGCAGTGCGTCGACGGGAGGAGACCAAGAGAGCAGAGCAGGAGAAGCAGAAACTGGAGAAGGAGAGGAGGGAGCTGGACGAGAAGCAGTCCAAGGAGAGGGAGAGGATAGCAAAGGAGAGAACTCGGCAGATTGAACAGGAGAAGTGAGTTAAACGTTCATAAATGTGCACATGACAAGGTGCGAGAAACCGAGGCGTCATGTTTGTGCTTGTATGACAGGCTGCTTCAGAAAAAGAGGGAGGAAGAGGAAAGAGAAAAGGAGCAGCAGCAACAGGTAAATGGATGAATAAGTTCTGTACTTTTGAAATGTAGGGGTTTTGTTTCTAAAGGTCCCAAAGAATAATACCGGTTTGTTTCATTTATGATTCACATCGGGCGCTTTTGGACTGCAGGACATCACATACAGCAGATTTTATGATGGTTGAAGCCACTTCCTTTGCAAGAACTATGGCTGCAATTTGGTTGATCTGATTTAGAGCAGTGATAAACTAAATGTAAAATACACACAAGTTTAAAAATCAACTCTGGTGAACTATGTGAGTGATCATGATGCTTATCAAAGTCAGAGTCAGTCAGAGATTCTTTATTGTCATTCGCACCTCATGTGGTACATGTGGTGGAACGAGATTATGTACACAGGGTCCCAGTTACATCCAACAATAAATTGTAAAAGAAAAACAGTAATAAGATCTAAGATATGAACTAAGAAAAACATCAACTAAAAATACACTAAGCACTAGTAGCATAAAAACATTATGTTGAACAGCAGCACAAACATGAGTCTGTGTGAGCAGATGAGCACGAATGAACACAGCAACATGAAACAGATCAGCAGCAACATGAAACAGATCAGCAACAACATGATGGTCTTTGTACCAGCTCTTCAGGTGTTCCACCTCCTGCCTGTAGCTGGACTCATCATTGTTTGGGATTCATCCCACCACCACTGTATCATCTGCAAACTTTAAAATATGACAGCCTGGATGAGTAGGTGCACAATCATACATGAGCAGAGTAAACAGGAGAGGACTCAACACACATCCCTGAGGGGAGCCAGTGCTGAGGGTTATGGTGGAGGAGGAGAAGTTGTGGATCCTCACTGACTGTGGTATATTTGTTAAGAAGTCTAATACCCAGTTTCAAATGGAGGGCTTAGTCCTAGTGTGAGTAGTTTGTCCATCAGGGTTTGGGGGATCATGGTACTGAAGGCAGATGTAAAGTTCACAAAGAGCATACGGACATAAGAGTCCTTCTGTTCCAGGTGGTTGAGTGCAGTGTGGACCACAGAGGAGGTGTCATCCTCTGTTGATCGGTTCTCGCGGTATGCATACTGGTGAGGGTCCTCGTTGATGTTGATGGTTGTTTTGATGTGGGTCATGACCAGTTTTTCGAAGCATTTAGCGACTATCAGGGTGATGGCTAATGGCTGATAGTCATTCAGACCAGTCACTGCAGAGGTCTTTGGGAATGGGATCATTTTATAAGAATGTTGTTCAAGTCTAGATTCCTAACGACAGTACCTGAGTTATGAGAAAGTGTTCATCTGTGCAGATAATTTTTGTTCAAGTATAAGCGTGTCCTACTTTTTCCTTCTTCTTCTTTTGGCTTTTCCCTATTCAGGAGTCTCCACAGTGAGTCATCCTCCTCTATCTCTGTCTTCTGCATCCTCTGTCCTCACTCCAACTACCTCCATGACCGCTCTAGCTGCATCCATGTATCTCCTTTTTGTCTTTTTCCTGGTAGCTGCATTTCTAACATCCTTCTACCAATATACCCACTGTCCCTCCTCTGGACATGTCCAAACCATCTCAGTCTGGCCTCTCTAACTTTATCTCCCAGTTGTTCAACCTGTGCTGTATCTCTGATGATCTCATTCCTAAGCTTATCCATCCTTTTCACTCCTAAGGAGAACCTCAACATCTTCATTTCTGTCTCTTCCAGCTCTTTCTCCTGTCTTTTTGTCAATGCCACTGCTTCCAGACCATACGTTTCCCTTGAAATAACTAAACACACACACACACACACACACAAGTCTCATGTTTTTGACGCTCAGGGAGAGAAATCCAGTTGAAAGTCTGTCTGAAACACAAAAAACTTTAGGAACGCTTGTTCAAATAAATATGTTAGTCTTGGAGTTCTTTGTTTAAGTATGACATAAGCTGACAACAAGATCAAAATGTCTTAAAAATTTGAATAGTCACTTTATCTGAAGAAAGATTGTAGATGTTTTCATATCACAGGAGAATCACGTTGCAGTCTTCATAACCATTTAGATCATACAACACCTTTCTCTGAATGTTTGTAGTGTTCCTTCAAACTCTGCTTTGAAAAGGAAAGACCCACAACAAACAGCTTTCCATTGTTGCTTTTGGTATATATGACTTAGTGGCAGTGCAAATGGTTGACAGTGTAAGTGTTGCACAATCCTGGCATTGCAAAAGCAAAGACTTTAGTTCTTACGACCCTCGAAAAGTCCATGTAACTATTTGATCTGAAAACACCCAATGTATTTCAGGTTGTGCATTTATCAGCTGGTGATTTCTGGGATTTTTATGTCTGTTGTGTATTCATGTTGTCAGCTGTTGACAACACAGTAAACATTTTTATGACTGATCATCTCTGTTTAAAGGGGTCACCGCCTCCCTTTCATTTAGGGGATACATTTCTTCCTTATTGCTCATCATTTTGTCATATCAAGTCATGTGTCGTTGAATCATTGTCCTTTTCCTGTTACTTGCATGCTTTCCCCTTGTAAGAAGTTTCTTTCCTTAGTGAGATGGTTCAAAAATACAAAGTATGTTATCTAATGTAATGTGTCCGTGTTTTAGATCAATATTTTAATGTAAACAATATAATTTAACATTATGTGCCTGTTTTAGAACCAGCAGGAAAATATAAGCAAGATAACAGGAATCAACTCTGCTGCATCTGTGCAAAAAGCTAATGTGAGTATGTTTGACTAACTGGGCATTCTCATCAAAATCTACCTGTAATTGATTAAATACTCTTTATTGATCAGCATTTGCAGCTAGTGCTTCTATACCTAGTAATAAAATCCTCTTACCAGGTGTGTTAGGATATCCTCACCTCTGCCGTTTCAGTATAAAAATGTTTCTTTATGGAAATTTTGTCTTAAATTGCTGTTCTACCCCTTTAAACATTCTCGTTTATACACAGGAGGCAAAGTCACTGATTTCTCAGAGATCATTCAATCCCAGAGATATATTTAAGCAGAAGGAGCAGAGCATGGAGATCACCAACTGGTCTCCTGCTGCATCCAGACCTGGTAAACAACACAACAACATTGGAAGTAAACAAGATGCGATGGAAACAATTGGTTCATGCATTCATGTTTTCACCCTCAGGGAAGCTGCAGAGTCCGTTTCTGTCCCAGAAATCCTTTGAAAGTGAAATCCCTGTGAAGCCGTCGGGTTCAGTGTCATCTCCTGCTGCAGATTCATTCCTCACCCCTCAGCCTCTGGTCTCACCCGTCCCTCAGCCTCTGGTCTCACCTGTCCCTCAGCCTCTGGTCTCACCTGTCCCTCAGCCTCCAGTCTCACCTGTTCAATCCGTCTCGCATGTTCTCTATCGATCCCATGCTGCAGCTTCCTCTCCTACACCACCACAAAGCAGAGGTTCAGATACATTTCTAATATGTGTTAGGGAATACACTGAAACTGAAACCCTGTCTACACTAATCTTCATGCTTTTTAAACAATATAATATAATATAATATAATATAATATAATATAATATAATATAATAAACAACATATTTTCTTCATCAATATTAAAACACAACTCAATTTTAAACAAAATGTTAACACAAATGCAGAAATGCTGAGTCATTAGGTCATATTAATGACGTAAATATAAGGCAAATGAAAGTTCTTAGCCTGGCTAATAATCAGCAATTTGTTTTAAATTCTTTACGTTTGATCCTGTGGTTCTTGTCTGCAGTCTGCAGCTGTCACTGGGTGAGAGTGGGGATACTGACAGGTCCCTAATCAATTACAGGAACTCTCCTTAATCAACGGTAGCTTGTTTTCTTTTGTTTTTACACAGCTCACTAAAAGGCATCATCTCACAATTACACAATTTCACAATCAAAGTGTATAATGGTGATGGGATTAGTATTATTCCATCCAAACATTATCTGCTGCTTGTCCCTAATTCAGGTTGTGGGGGCAGCAGCTTGAATAAGGAGGTCCCAAACATGATTTTTTAGAGCCCCCTTTTCCAGCTGCCATAGGACAATTTTAAGACCTTTGATCTTTCCCAGGGTCACCTTCCAGTTGGACATGCCCAGAACTGCTCCTTAGGAAGGCATCCAGGGAGCATCCTTACCAGATGCTCAAACCACCTCAATGGGCTCCTCCTGATGTGCAGCGGCTCTTATCTGTGTCTCCCAAATAACTGAATATCTCAGCAAAGTCCATGCTCAATAATCCAGGTATACAATCCAACATTATTGATCAAGCCTTCCGGATCAAAGGTGAAACGTTTCAGCACGAAAAAAAAAAAGAAACTGTCCAGATGACCTGACTGAAAAATGTTGGATTGTATACCTGGATTATTGAGCATGGACTTTGTTGTTTTCAACCATTTTGACAAGACTGTCAACAAGGAAGAGGGCTGGCAATGGAGGAGGGGTGTACCAAAGAGACCATCTTATCACAAGCAGAACTGGATTATTCCACTTTGGAGTAATCTGTTGGGGGAAGAATCAGTTTTGTGTTTCCTTGACTGATGAAGCCTTCCGGATCGAAGGTGAAATGTTTCAGCACAAAAAAAGAAACTGTCCAGATGACCTGACTGAAAAATGTTGAATATCTCAGCCTTTCTCTAAGGGAGAGTCTGGCCATCCTGTGGAGAAAACTCATCTCCACCGGTTGTAACCACAGTCTCCTTCTTTGGGTCACTACCCAGAATTTATGACCTTCGGCGGTGAGAGTAGGAACAAAGACCAACTGGTACACAGAGAGCTTCACTTGTGTCTATAACTGGACTGGCACAAAGTCCACAATACTGCAGAAGCCGCACAGATTTGTCCATCAGTGTTACACCCCATTCCTCCTCTCATTAACAAAACCCCAAGAAACTTAAACTCCTTCACTTAAAGCAGCAACTCATTCCCAATCCACTTGTATCTGACAAAAGACCATGGCCTTAGATTTGGAGGTGCTAATCCTAATCTCAACTGCTTCACCCTTGGCTGTGAACTACTCTTCTGAGAGCTGGAGATCATGACACGATGATAAAAACAGGACTGCATCACCCACAAATAGCAGATACAGAATCCTGAAGTCACCATCCTGGACTCTCTGTCCCTTAACAAGAAATTCTGTTCATAAAAGTTATGAACAGAATTGATGACAAAGGGCAGCCCTGGTGAAGTCAGACACTTACCCTATAGGGCATATGTGTCAAACTCAAGACCCGGGGACCAAATGTGGTCCTCGTTGAGATCTTATCTGGCCCCCAAGATGTTATTTTAAATGTAAAATACTTTTATTACTTTAATTTTTTTCAGTAATCTTTGATTATGATGCCAAATTGTAACAGAGAATGTCAAATGAGACCAACCAAACTCTTGTTGAGGAACCTGCAACCAAGAAAAGATGTTTGGTATCTAACTTGAGTTAATGTAGATTCTGAAACTGGCCCTTAGTTTGAAAAAAGTTTGAATTTTGGCCCTCTTTTGTAAAGTTTCATACCCCAGCTATTGGGGGTCTGACCTGACAATGCAAACTGAGCTCCCTCTTTATAAAGGAACTGGATGGTCCATAGCAATGGATCCCCAGTACTCACAGATCACAGCCCACAGTATTCCCTAGGGAACATGATTAAATGCCTTCTCCAAATCCATAAAACACATGTAGGCTGGTTAAGCAAACTCCAATTCCCCATTAAGGACTAGGATTCAGATTAGAATAAAACAAGACAGAAAAAGAAAAATGGGTTAAATAAAAATATCTTGAATGTTGTTTCTAGTATATAAACTAATAATGAACATACAACAAAAAAAATCATTGACATAATAGTTTTACTTTTCATGTCAACATGGCCACACCAAACATTTTTAGTTTGTTGGTGTAGTCAATTGACGGGAGTAAAATTGATTGAAAAATGCTTTAAACAGTTTTTTTTATTTTATTTTGTAATCCTTCACTAATTATTGTTGGCAAATAAGCAAAAGGTGCAAACACGGCAGAAAATCTTAATTAAAAAAACTGGAATAGTGTAGATAGGGGCTGATGTCAATTGAATCCAACATTTACAATATCCTCAAGATAATTTGCCACAAAAGTTTGAAACTCTTAAGCAGGCACCTAAACACAATTGGTAAACTACCAAACATGTATGGTGTGCAGTTTGTCTGGAAATGGTAGATGGAAATGGAGTTTACACACATTGCAACTGCAGCTGGAGTCAAATGTAAACCTACGACATTAGCATTCATGTCATTCTGATCATTTTTTAGAAATCTGTCAAACAATTATGACTTGTCATGAGTTACCAATGGTATGACTGTGTTGTCCCCCGAGTTACTATGGTATGTAGCAAACAATGAAGCTGGTTGACAAACAGATTTGAGTTTGTAGGTCTGATCACTCAAAGCCAAGAACAAACACAGCTGGTTAAAACACTGACTACTGGTTCTGGGTAAAATTAAACTAATGGTTGAATGACATGATTTAATGGTGTCAGCCTTCTTCAATCCTTGGCCCAAATCATCAAAAGTTATACTTCCAGAAGAGGTTTCTCTAAGTTATGAGTCCAAACAAAAAAAGTCTATTGTCCAGTGAGGGCTTGTCTTAAGCAGTTATAGACCTTTTCAGTGCACATTCATTTGAGGTATTCAAGTAATTTTGTATCAGTCATGATCTTTCATATTAAAATATAGCTGGCGTTAAAGGTTCAAGGTAAAATCTGCTCAGAATTTAGGAACTCTTGAAAAACACCTACATCCTTCTAAATAGTGATGTTTGTAGCATCTAAGCTGCTAATAAATGGAACATTTAAGGTGAAACAAGTTGGAAATTATTCAAAAACAACTTTTATCCACATAAAAACAATTCACAACACAAAGCTGCACTGTCAAAGAGAAATAGTACAGGAATAAATGTACAACATGAAGTCGAATTTTCCTACTATTTTAAACTGCATAACCCATAAAATATAAACAGCACTAAGCTCTCATCTTCACAGCTCTTTGTTTAGTTAGACAAGCTAAAGGCTGGTCATTGTCAGGAGTCATTTCTAATGCTACCGACTGACTTTTAAACACATCTTTATTATATAATCAAGATTGTCAAAATGTAATGTTTTACATCTTGATGCTATGTTTCAACTAATAAAATCTAATGTATTTTCCTTTCTCATCCATGAGCACAGGGGTTGGTTACACTGAGGAAGAGGAGTGGTCAGATGAGTTTGATAATGAAGAAGATGAAAACACTCCAGGTATGGTGTCAACATCAGTAAAGAAGTTTCCTTAAACAGAACAGATTTAAGTATTGTTTAAACCATATCATATACTAGATATTTTCACAAAAAAATGAACAAAAACAAAAGCCTGCCTTAATATTTGTTAAAGTGTAAATTATAGGAGTTGACTTTCACAGATGTTCAAATTTCTAACATGTATCTCAACTGGTTGTGACTGCTGGTGACAAAATGTGAATTAAATGTGTATGGAAGTTTCCAAAATGTTTGTGAAGGTTTTCAATCTACTTTGGCGAGTCACAGGGCATAGTCTTCGAGCCACAGGAATTTTTAACATGTAAAAAAAAAAAAAATTGCTAAACCACTTCTCAAAATGGCGAGAGTCATCGTGGGCATAAAGACTGTAAATATAAATGGACTTCAGAACCAAACTCAGAAGTTACATCTGTTTCCAGTACAAGTTTTAAGTCCCGCCACTTCAAACAAAACATGGGACATTGTCCATTTAGAAACAATCAAAACACACTTCAGAGTTTTTTTTAATTTTTTTTCATTTTTTAGGTGTTGTTACTGTCTGCTCAAATATTATTTTTTTCCTACATGTTTAGGTGCAATAAGTGATTGGATGGTTGATAGAAAGCTCACACAACAACATGATTGTGTGCAGGGAAGTAGGAGGGACTTAAAGCCCCACATTGCTAGTGCTCAAATTCTGGTTCCACAAATACTCAATGGCAGCTTCTGTAAAACGGACCATGCTCGCTTCGGTATACAGATAGGAGGAAAAGAAACCAAACCGTGACTGATTGGAGATAATCAAATACTGTGATCAAATTGAAATATGATGATTGATAAGACACTTTGTGACAGAGTTGAAACAGATCTATTTGAACGTCACAAAAAAAGTCTTGTGAATGTCACAATTTATTCACAGTTGCAGAAAAATTTGTTATAAGTACCGATTCAGTAAGTTCAAGAGTTAGGGATTTTCTCACAATTTTGTATCGCTGTCTACTCGCCATTATGTGCAGTCCAGTGGGATACAAGCATTTTACTTTATATTTGTCTACTTTGTTCTCAATATGATTTGGCAACTGGATGTGTGGAAGAAAAACAGCTGATTGATTGCATCATGGACCACCAACCCAAAGGGCTTGAGGCTGTAACTGGACAGATCTGTGTGATTTTCTTTTCTTTTGACTTTTAATTATATTTTCGTAACTAAAGGACGCCCGATACAAATTACTGTACATGCAGTATTATTCTGTGTAGAGTTTTGAGGATTTATTTTATATTGTGTATTACTCATTTCAGCCTATTTCTCTCCTAAAACACAAAGAACACAAAGTGACAAGATGTTCTATTATTTTCATCCCACAGAGGAAACTCCAGTTCAGCCTGATCTGTACAAGGTACCAGATCCAGTTGAGACCAGAGCTAATCTTTATGAGCATCTTTATGAGAGTGCACATGAGGTGAGACCATTTTTTTCTTAGTGTAGCAGTACTAATACCCATCGCCATGTTCATTGAAAGTGTAATGTGTATTATTTGCACTCATCATGATCAATAACTCTCCTGTGGGAACGTTCTGCAATGTCCTTCTGCTCATGTTGTGATGTGTGACATTAACGGTCCCATGTAATCACTCCCACTGTGACCAGTCAGTGAAGAACAGAAAGAAATGGTACATTGATTTGATATTGATATGATGTGGTGACGTGTCTCAAGCAGAGTCCTTGACTCAGATCCACTCCTTCCTGTCTGCAGCGGACCCTAGGATGACGGCTCAGACATGGAGGGGGAGGAGCTGAGGGCATGGACAGGAAGATTATTCTATAAAACTAACTTGTCCAGTCCAGACAGTCAGAGCAGGTCAGGGTTTCACACGGATGAGAGCACTGATAACAGCGTAATCTTGTATTTGCATGCTCTGTGAAAATTGGACTGCTCTCCTTCTGAGAATCTCCTTTTTTTCCACGACACTCAGAAACAGACATTTTTGAAATATCATTCAGTTTCTTGGATTAAAACATATAAAGTAAATAAATTATAATTTTTGTTTAATATCATGGTATGTTTTATCAAGCAAGAAACTGTGAAAATCATTACATATTAATGAATTACTGGACATAAGATAGGAACCTGGAAGTTGAAGCCAGAATGGAACCATTGTTCCACATGGCCCCTGTACAAGTTCTAAGTCCCACCCTGTCTGTATAAAGGAATGGGAATTTTCTTATAAAACATTAAAAACCCACCTCTCACTTTTTCTGTGCTGAATTATTGAATTCAGACAGTTTTGACTGCAGTTTTATGTTTAAATATTCACATTTCTAGCACTTGTATTTGTAATGGGTTATTTCATACTTATAAGAAAGATCACAGAACACCATGGTTGTGTGTGGGGGCTTAAAGGGGACTTAAAGCCCCACATCTCCAGTACAGAGTTTGGTTGCAAAAATTTAACATGGCAGCCCCAATAAACCAGGTCTTGTTAACTTCAATTCAACGTAACAAGAAAATGCCCTTTCTCATTGCCACTTTGTCTATTTTAATATACAGTTGGTTATGCAAATTTAAACAAAATAAAATAAAACTGGAAGTAGCTGCCAAACAGTGAAAACTTTTTAAAATATTTGTTGTAAATTTTGTTCGATTTAACCCACATTCAGCGTCTAACGTGGTGCCTGTGGTTCTGGTTGTGGTTGTCAGAAGTTAAATGTATTTTAGCACAACATTGCCTCTTCTTTCCTCATTGTTTTAGGACATTTTACGTTCTCTTTTTTAATTATTGCCTTTTGAGAGTGTTGGATTTCTCTGTCATTTCTTTATGTATAAATAATATCACTGTTACTTGTTTTAATTGAATGTGGAAATATTTAAAAGCCATTAAATGTAATAAACTTTTTTTAAAATGTAATTTCAGGTTAGAGAACTAGCAGTGGGGGACAGCGAACATGGGAAGTGTGCTAAAGCCCTTTATGATTATCAGGCTGGTGCGTATACACACAGAACAGTTTTGAAAGGCATCTTGTTTTGTGTTGGAAAAATAAAAAGCACGTCTGATCTATCATTTTTTATCTCATGCGGACATAAAAAAATAAACATAAAAAACAATTTGAGCTAAATGTGCACGATGACAGCCTAGACACCAGATGCCAAAACTGCTCTTGAAATATTAAACTTCAATGTTTAATAAGCTAAAGATCTTGACATTTATATATATATATATATAGATATTTATTAATTTTAAGAGAAGTCTGAAAAATTTAATCACTTTAATAAAAAGAGAAGCGCAATATTCTTGCTATGTCATTCATTCAATTCATTCAACCATTATTTATACAGGTTAGTCTCAACGAGCCACAAGAACTCATTTTCAAGAGAGACTTCTTTTAGACAGACAATAAATAACTAAATGCATGTCAGATGGCACAGATTTAGTTTATGGGTTTATGATATATTTTGATATTATGGTATACCTGTGTTTGCACGTGTTATTCAAAGCACTTTATAGATTTCGTTTTAAAACAATATACACTTTCTTTAAATGTGCATCCTACTTGCTTTCACAGCGGATGAAACGGAGATCACCTTTGACCCCGATGACATTATAACCCAGATAGAAATGCTTGATGAAGGCTGGTGGAGAGGTTACGGACCTGACGGACACTACGGCTTGTTCCCTGCCAATTATGTTGAGCTTCTCTAATGTTAAAGGTTGTTTCCATGGATGGCTCCAGGATGCTAAAATAATGCAAATATACATTTACATAAGCTGTTTTTTCATGAAGTTTCATTAAAATCACATTAAATGAACAATAAAACATTTAAGGCAGCAATTCAAACCGTACTGTGATTGTTTTAAAACCATCTTGTACCTAATAATTAAAATGTCAGATTTAGAAGTACCTATTGATGTTACACTCACTGTTTCAAGCACATAAAACGGAAGTGCTGATGCTTTGTTGAGCCCCTTTTCCACCGCTCCTCTTCAGCCCGGTTTGGCTCAGTTCACCTCGACTCAGTTTGGTACACATTTTGTTTCTATAGCCCCTTTCAGGTTCCAGTGGGTTGGGTTCAAATTGATGTCACGTGTCTTACCAGCTAGCTGGTTGGGGTAAGACCATGGAAACATGTTCAGTACAGGGTGAGAATTTATTTTGAAGTTTCTGGTAAATTTAAAAGAATACAGATTATTAAAATTATAGAACATATATATATATATATATATAATGGAAAAGCTGTTTCACTTTCATAATTCTATTCAAAAAGTTCATCTTTAATAGATTCAGGGCCTACAATTTAAACAATTTCAAGTATGTTTATTTTTACATAATTTGGGCTTCCAGCTCATGAAACCCATGAAAACAGGATTTCCCAAAATTATAACACTGTGGAGACATCAGCCCACACTACTTCAGTTTTTGCAAAATAAAGAAATTAGGATCACAACAAATCGATCAAAATATGGTACTTTCAAAATGATATATCAATCTTCAATACTTTTGTTGGGAATCCTTTTGCCTTAAGCCTGCAATGTGGCATTGAGACAATCAGCCTGTGGTATTGCCAGGGACTTATGGAAGCCCAGATTTTTTTGATGCTTGCTGTCAGCTCTTTTTTGTCGTTTGGTCTGGTGCCCCTCCATTTTCCTCTTGAGAATACCCCATAGATTCTCAATGGGGTTTAGGTCCGGCGAGTTGACTGGCCAGTCAAGCACTGTGGCATGGGCATCAAATCAAGTTTTGGTGCTCCTGCTGGAAGATTAAATCTGCATCTACATACAGATCCTCAGAAGGAATCATGAAGTCCTCCAACATTCTAGTAGACTGTTGTGACCTTGGATTTAAGAAAACAGAACACCTGCAGTCTTTCATTTACTCTTAGACCAGGTAGTCTCATTGAGCCACAAGAACTCATTTACAAGAGAGACCTTTTTAGGAGCAGATGGGGGTTTAGGGCCTTGCTCATTGGGGCGAATGAGTGTGAGGCAGCTGTGGGTGCTTCACCTACCCCACACACTTTTGATGTTCGTACTGGGGCTTTAACAGGTGATCTACCGATCACAGGCCCACTTTCAACCTCTGCACCACCACTCCGCAACGGCACACATTACACCCCAAATCATGACAGAGTTCCCCCCCCCACACTGGACCTCCAGCAGTATAGGCTACGTTTCTCTTTTCTTTAAACCCTTGATTTCCGAATGAAAGGACACCAAGTAAGAAAGGGGACCGAGGAACGCGAGATCCAACTCATCTCCTGGTGGTCAGTTTTTGATAGTAATATCCTTCTGATTTAAAGGCTTCGAAGCGTGTGGCAAGGAATCCAGATGGATGTGGAGCATATATCGAGGCACATTCTGACATTATGCCTCGCTAGCGGGCTGTAACAGATTTAGGAACTGGCTCTTTTATGCATGATTTAGGGACAGGATAGAATACATTTAAGGTAAACTACTCTGCATAGTTATTCCCTAGTATACAAGTCAACATGTCTGAAAGAACAAGATACCTTTGTCAAATAGCTTCATGTTAACAGATCTGAGCAAAAGCCATTTGAAACCAAGTTGAGTTACAAGATTTTAATTGGGAGTCACGTTGTGGGCTTCGTCGCCTGCAGTCACGTTGTGGGCTTCGT